TAGTTGCCCTCAGCTAATGCATGATTAAAAGGGAAGCATAACTCGCCGTGATTTACTTGAATTTCCTTTAGTGATTAGTAAATTCATTCTAATTTTACTTTCGATAATTCAGCAAAGGAATAAAAAAACATGGACAATGCAAATGAATCCCAACCGATTTTTTTTTAATTATACCGAAGTATGTATGAAACTATCTATTGGCTAGTTAAATTGCTGGAGCATCTGTAGTCAAGTGGGTGGGTCATTAAAAGACTTAAAATCAGGTAGAATGACTGCTTACAACATTAGCTGGTTTGCAAGATTTGGCTAAGAGCACGACAGCTTGCTTCAGCCTTGGTGGCGTCCAACCTCCTTGGCATCGATTTCCTGGAATAAGACGGTAGCCAAGCTCTTGAACACGTACCCGCTCTGATGCAGAAAGCTCGCAGGGATCAAGCGGAGGCATATGTGGGTTACGCATGCATACGGTGGAGTCTAACTGTCGCCAAAATCCATATTCACTGTCAGACAAAATGGATGTTAAATGCTAAATTTTAAAAACTATAGATAAAGAAAGGAAGTTTAAAAAAGTTCCCAAAAATTATCGCCAATAAATGTTTAAATGAATTTTTAAAAGGAACATGAACCTGATCAATTATCTAAACCCAAGGCTTTGAACTTAAAACAAACCAAGTCTCCATCGCTTAGACCAGTGGTTCCCAAACATTTCCTAGTCGCGGCACCCTTTTTCAGTTAAAATTTTTCCATGGCACCCTACTCTAAGTATGAATATTCGTAAGAGATAAAAAGTAATAAAACTCGTGTATCTTCATTTTTTACTTTATTAACATTAAATTAATATTTAATAATTAATGTGATGGATAAGCCTGCAAATCACTGCACGTTTTCTCAAATTCAGGCTTTTACAATATTTCGCAGCACCCCTGTAAAGAGGCCGCGGCTCCTCGGGGCGCCGCGGCGCACATTTTAAGAATCACTGACTTAGGCTCGTTATAAAAGTCATAAGGATAAGCAATTATGAAATAAATACATTTAACTATTTATGCATCCGATTTTTTCACATGATAGGAGTTAAGTATACCTAGTTATTCTTATTCTGGTCGAAGACACGGAACTAGGTACGCTCCACAATGTCTCCCTGGCGTTGCGACCAAGTCGCGAAAACAAGGTCGAACCAGCATTATAAAGATAAAGGATACTGCGACCAAACAGAAGAGTACATCATCTTGGTCTTCATATCTAGAAGCTAATAATGGTGTTAAGATTGCCAGTCAGTACCTGATTACAACAGATTAAAGAAAACTATCGTAGGTCAACCTTGTCAGTTAGCCTTTGTTAGCTGTTGTAAACGTTACGGTATCTCTCCCAGTTTTTGCAACTTGATGAGAAAATACTATTTCGATAAGGTCAATATTATATTATATCAGGCGTCTTTGTGAAAATTAGAGGAGACATATGATAGAAAGAGGTGGAAATCATCTAAGTTTTTAGATATAAAATCTAGATTCAGGCATGATTTGAGCCAGACTCTCACCCCGGAGGATGTCCTGAAGCTGCAGAAAATGACAGTGTCGAAAAGGATATCGGACTTAATCAATAAAGGCACCAAAAGAAGCTGAATATATATGGGATCCAAAGGCAGTCCAATAATCAACCAGCCGGAAAAAACGTAGATGCCTCTAGGCTGACGGATCTCCAAGTCCAGACAATAAATGAGGATAAAGTAGTGAATCTGTCTTCCTCAAGAAGCGATTAAATTTTGCCCTTCGGAATGAAAGGAAGCAATCAAGGGCATTTTAGTGGAAGTTATAAATACCTCTAAGAAGCTACCTGAAAAATCAAAAGGAGAGCTGGGAATGGAGATCACCCCGAAAATCTTGGCGCATCAATAACCCAAGCATAGGGACAATATAACCGAGATATAAGGAGAATTGAAATGAAACGATCAAAAAGTTCTACAAACCGGCAGAGGCGCCACGGTGGTGATGGATAGGAAAGAATATACAAAGAAAATGGAAAATATTCTCGGGGACACGACAACGTATCGACTACTAACAAAAGGCCCAACAGTTAAAATCAAAGGGGCACTGCAAGGCAGGCTGAAGAAAATTAATAGGAATGGGGAAATCGACAAATGGACAATGAACTCATACGAAAGGATGCAAGAGCCCCGATAGCATAAGGTTTGCCGAAGGTAACAAAGAAGAACGAGTGAGACTGATAATCAACAACAAACATGGACGGACACAAATTAAAATTCATTATAAATTAAGTTAAGATTTAAATAAAATGGAGGTTATAGGCCCATTGATTGAATAATTAAAGAGGGCAGCAACAGATCTGAATACAATTCATTAAATATAGCTCATTATAAAGGCTAAACTGAAGACTACATCACAGTGGCATCTAACTCCATTAGTATTCCTGAATATCGAATATTTAAAAAAAAATTGATACTTTCCCAAAGTATGATTGTAACATTTTGCTATTATTTTATTGCAAGCTTCGAATTTTACTATTGTGTTTCATTTCACACAAGTATATGACCTCCTATGCCCTAGTCTCTTGTGGGTCATCCCACGAATGTTGTGGTATTGCTTTTTATTATTAGATTAAATGTAGAACTTGGTATTAGGGATAGAAACAGGATAGACGCCATGGAGACTAGAGCTAGTTAAATGACAGAAGATCATAGACGTGGGTCATGGAGCAGACTTGACCATGAGAATTATTCGGGGGCTTTCACTTAAGCTAGTCTCCAAGAGGCAGATTGTGGGAAATAACGCATCAAGTAGCACATATAAGGTGGCAGGGGTCGAGTGAAATACTTCAACCAGGGCGATCGCAAACGGATCATATGGAGCAAGAGGGAGATTATAATAAGATCCATGGAAGGAGGACGGGGTAACAATAGGGCAGAATTCGATCAACTTCCCAGCACGAGGGTGAAAGTGGGTGAGGGGGTAAGAAGGCCAGCGTAAGGTGTGGAGAGTTCTCACGAAATCCGCTCAAAGGGCAAACCATACCACATTTGAATAAGCAAGTAAAATCATGATATCTTAGGGGTGATCCGAGGTTATAGGATTGGTGATTAGCCCAGGGCGGAAGAAGAGATACCACTATTATTTAGCAGACAATTGTTTAAGAATCGGCTTCACTTGTCTATTTGATGAGTAGTATTGTGGTTATAAACCTAGCAATTTTCACTGAAAATGCTAGCGAAACGTCAGAAAATGTACAACCTCCACTGTCCGACTCTGGAAATTATCATGCATAAAATGGACTCCGCACTAGGTGCGTTCCTCTAAGTCTTCCTACCAATATGACCAAGTTGAGAAAACAAGGTCAAATAATCTCTATACAACGAAAGAAGACTGCGACCACACAAAAGGCCACACCATCTTGGCCTTCATACCTTCTATAAAACTATGGAAGAAAGATTACCAAATAATGCACTGATTACAGCTGGACAAAGAAGACAAGTGTAAGTCAATCCTGTCATTTTTTATATTTGAATTGTTGCAAAAATTATGCTATCGATCTCCGATTTTAATCTAATGAGAAAGTGTGTTTCAGACACAGTTAATGAAATATTTCATCACGCCTCCAGACAGAAATTAGAGGAAGGTTACA